TATCAGGGCGAAGGAAAACCAACTAGAATACAAGAAAGGTTACACTTACGCATATGGTAGTAAAACTTTACGACATCAAAGAAAAATGAGGTCTAAAAGACAGAGTTAAAGATGATTATAAACGCATAAGAGTCAGTTTGCTTAACTGCAAATTCTTCAACAGCTACAAGAGAAATCCCTAAGAATATGGCCAACAGAGAGTGAAAATAAGATTTTATTCTATATGTGTAGCCAAACTGTTCATCAAGATGGTGGACAAAGAAAAGACATTTCTTGATAGAAGAGCAGAGTCCTACTGATTCTCTTCTTCCTCCCTGACAGAACCTCGGTTTCACTTGGGACGCCCATGTCTTCAGATACAAAACTTTACATCCCAGCCTCTTCCACAGCGAGGGTGGCTGCTGGGTAGTTCCGGCCACTGAGGCCAAAGACTAGATGCAGGAAGGATTTCTGGAAACGGTGGAATCCCTAAAGCCTTGCTTTCCTGCTACATGTGCTACCCCGTCTTCCCCTCTGCCCTTTCCTTTGTCCTGATGCTGAACGGGGGACCTGAGTGGCTGGAGTTGCAACCTCTTACAATTTTGAGGCAAAGGCTGATGGAACCACAGAAGCCATGCCCTGGAACTACTTATGCCTGTACTTTGTTACATGAGGAGAAAAAGAAACAGGCTTCTTTAAAGCTCCTGTTTCCGTTAGTCATAACAAAACACATCCCAATTTGTTATGAGTGAAGAAGAAAGAAAACTTAATTACCACCAAATATATGACTTTCTTTAGAAAACCCAAGCGAATCTACACTCACATTTCTTAGGAACAATAAAAGCGGGGCGCCTGGATGGCTCAGCCAGTTAAGTGTCTGACTATTGGTTTTGGCTCAGGTCACGATCTCAGGGTTGTGAGATCGATCCCCACATGGGGCTCCACATGCTCAAGATTCTTTCCCTCTACCCCTCCCCCTAGAAACAATAAGAGCATTCAGCAATATATTGATATAATATACTTAAATCAATTTTATGTCTGTCTATATGCCACCAAAGAGCTCAGAAAACTGAAGTTTTTAGAAGGTGTAATTTACAATATCAACACAAAATATAGGGTTCCTAGAGATAAATCTTATATAAGATGTATAGGATCTTTTGGACAAAATTTTTAAATTATTGAAAGCAGTTAAAAAGTTCTAAGTAAACGGAGACAGACATTATGTTTATGGAAGACTCGATCACACACAGGAATTTTCTTCCTCAATTGTTGTATTCTCCCAATTTATCTATAAATGAAAAATAATTCCAATAAAACTTAAAATAGAATTGTGTGCGTGACCCTTGTCAAGTTAATGCTAACATTTGTGAAGATCGAAAAGCCAGGAATAACCATCAAACTCTGGAAGAAGCAGCTGGGAGACTCCATTAGCCATATTTCAGTATTCATTATAAAGCTACGCTAATCAAGGCAGTGTGGGATCAGTACAGAAAGAAGTGTGTAAGCCAAGAGAAGAGACTAGAAATTTAAGTTCTCCCCCTGCACGTGAAAACTTTCAGTTGGAGAGTGTAAGATAAATGGTGCTAGGGCAACTCGTTATCAGTAATGAAAAAAAATCAGATCTCTAGCCTGTATCATACACCAAAATCAATTTCGGGTGCAAGAAAAGACCTAAAAAATAAGACTTAAAACTATACTGTGAGAATGTCTTTATGACTGTGGAGAATAGAAAGATGATTTAAGACAAAAACTACAAATCCCTGAGAAAAGATGGACACATTTGACTGCCTTTAACTTACTAACGTTAATGCATACAAAAATGCAGTAAACAGCTGGAAAAGGGAAAATATAGCCAGGAAGAAGATAATTAGGATCTGAAGAACTTCTGATAATAAGAAAAAATCAAATAGTCCAATGACTAAATAGGCAAAAGAAAGCGATCCACAGAAGAAACCAGTGCTGCATGGTTAATAACTACAAAAAGATGCTTTCCCTCAGCAGTAACCAGAGACTGTAATGAGATATCACTGATACGCCTCAGATCGGCAAAAGTGATGAATTCTGACAATACCAAGAATTGCGTGAGGACGCAGAGCACGGGAACTCTCGCATTCTCCTGGGTGAGCGTACAAAGGCGGACCCACTGTCCGAGCCATACGGCGCACCCCGGAAAGGCGAAGACGCTCTTGCCTCTGATGCAGCTATTTTACTCCCAAGTGTACACAGCCTAGAGAAACTCCGGGCCCAGACACGTGACCCGGAATGTTCACAGCATCCTGCTCCGAAGTAAACTACTGTCATACAGGAGACTTCAACACTAGCTGCCACGTGTCACTCCTGGGGGGTGGGCACAGAGGCACCTTTTCACACCTGTTTTCAAGGCAGAACGTGATGAGAGATACTGCAAAGTGAAACAGGTAAATCAGATTAGTTTCAGAACTTGTGGCATCACCTTTTGGAGTGGGAAAAGACTCGGGGAGATAGCCAGACGCCCTGAGGGAGATTTGGGTGTGTTTGTTTGTTTTTAAAGAAAGGCAGACTGGCACATGCAGCACCTCATTTGGAGGTGTCTGGAGTCTTGGAAGTTTGACTACCCTACGTTCTCCTACAAACGGACGTTGAGAGCTTGTTTGGAGATCCTAGCAGGGGAGCGCAGCTACTCATATAGCCTTGACCGAAGAACGGTCCTCCTCTATAGGGGAAGGTCGTCCCCTATGACCCAGTGCGCAGCTTTGGGAGGGACGCACAAGTCGCCGTGGTGAGGGTGTCAGCCAGATCAGCCGAATCCACCCTGGCGATCAGTGGGGTGACAGATGTCCCAGCCAGATTGCCCTCCCATCCCTGAGGGAGATTTTGATCGGTTTCTTTAGAAGCACTTGCATACTCTCCTTGACCTAAGAAGTGATCGGCACCTGGCTGAGTTACTGCACCTCCTTTCTCCTTCCTGGGCCATCCTGTCACTTCATAGGTGTGACTGACTTGACATTGACCTCAGCGCTCTGCTTTCACAATGACAGTGAGAGAAGCAGGGGCCCTGCCCTCTCAGTGGAAGAAATCTAGACATTGCTCTTCAAGTTGACATTGCATCATTTCCCAGCTGTTCTCACTACTTTTTAATGACATATTACCTATCACAAGACCCCATTAAGTAGCTTTCACCACAGAGAACTGATGAAACAGTGTGTCTCAATTTTCTTGCTTTGCATACTCCATTAAGTTGCTATTTACATATTTTATATAAAATTGTAGAAGAAAAATAATTATTCTAAAAGTCAAAACAATCTGTAAATATATAAAGAAGTAGTAGTACATAGCATTTCTGCAGGATTGAAACATTATCATGGACAGTAAGATTAAACACCACATCATGCCCAAGGCCCCTTCCCAGAGTCAACTTCATTATACGGAATTAGGACGTGCATGTTACTGTGGGACACAGGGGATCAGAGGATGTTCTAAGGACCCCTGAAGAAGCCTGGATAATCGTCTGAGTCTTTCCCATCACCGTAAGAGAAAGGAAGCAGGGCCACTGCCCGGACAGCCAGCCCTTGTTCCTGCTTAGTGCCCCTCCTGTCTTGGTGCCGGCCCTGGAAAGTGAGGTCGCTGCCGGGTCCGAAAGGACTTCACCAGCATCGAGACTGGGTCCCGGGAACGAATGGAACTCCAAAAAGTACAACTGTTTTAGGTTGGAAATGTTTTCAAAAAAAGTTTCTAATGGGAGCTCATGTCAGTTTCAGCTAAACAGTTTCAAAGGCTGTCACATATTTCCGTGCACTGAAGCAGATCCTGTCTCACCGTCCTTTCAAATTCTGATGAGCTCTCCAGACATTTGCCTCAAAATAGCTCTAGTTTTTCCTAATTGTTTCAGCAGTGGCTCATAGAAAAGTCTTTTAAAATATCTTTTTATCTTCAAATTATTTACTTGTTGAAATATTTATTTCCTTGTGGGAACCTCAGAGTTTTGCATGTTACAAAAGAATGATGTGGTTCTATATTTTAGGTTTTACAACCTTAGAGGTACTGGTCAATCAGGAGATAATCCCTTTGACATTCAACCAAAGCGCTTTGATTAAATTACTATCATTTTTAAAGAGACTAGAGTTGACCTATTTCACAAGCTTGATGGTTTATTTTGGAATCGGCACTTATTTCATGAAAAGATCCACCTCAGTTTTTGTTCCTTTCAAATCAGACAGTTTTAGTATAACTAGGACCTATTACAGTTAACAAGTACTGGGAAACATTTTAAAACTTAGTAAAAAGCAGCTAATCTTGTAAAATCTTTGACTATGAAAATAACTTGCTACTTTAGTTAAAATAGCTGCTTCTCTGGAAAAGTAAAGTAGGTTTCAAGAACACATAATCATGAATAAGGTTGGCCAAAGAATTCTTAGATTCCACACCAGAAGTACAATCCATAAGAGAAAAAAAATCATACTTCATCAAAATTAAATTAATGAATTTAGTTAATTAAATTTCAGAAAATGAAAATATAAGTCAAAGACTGAGAAAATATTTGCAAGTCATATATCTGATAAAGGACTTGTATCTGGGATATATAAGGAAATCTTACAACTCAAACTAAAAAGGAAAATAATGCAATTAAAATATGAACAAAAGATCTGAAGACGTTACTCCAAAGAAAATATACAAATGATCCATAAGCACATGGAAAGGTATTTGATATCATGTCATGGGGGGGAAGCAAATAAAACCACAACAAGATACTCCTGCATATCCACTAAGATGTGTAAAAACAAAAAGATAGTGACAAGTGTTGGTGAGGCTGTGGGAGAAACTGGAGGCCTCACACATTGCTGGTAGAAATATGGAATGGTGTAGCTCCTCTGGAAGATAGCCTGACCGTTCACAGAAAGGTTAAACACAGACCTACCTTTGACGTAAGAGTTCCACTGCTAGGTATATACCAGATATATATATATATATACACACACACACACATACATTTTTTTTTTTTTTTAAAGAAAGAAAACCTCCCTTTGTGCAAGGGTTTTACTTACTGAGGTTCCACTTCAGGCCTGTTGTCGTAACATGACTGCAAGGCTGTCCAACAGGAATAAGGCCACACCAATCACCTTCCATTCCAGTATCTACATGCATTTTGTGCTTTCCCTGAAGTAGAGAAGGAATGATCATTAGCAGAGTGAAGAGAAAGGACAGGACATCAATGTGCACTGAAGATCTGGTCCTATGCACCAGGTACCATCCCAGAACTTCATGTGGTTATCATACTTAATCCTAACAACGAATTTAAGTAGTATGTGCTGAATAATCCCAGGAACTTTCACTTGACTTAATCCTAGTCACAATTTTGCAAGGTAGCTTATTGTTAATTATTACTTTTACACATGAGAAAATTGAAGCTTGCAGAGATTAAATGTGTCCAGGACCACACAGATAACAAGGGGGCAGAATCAGGATTCCTACCTATACTTGCCAATTCTAAAGACTGAACTGATTCCGCATGCTAATGATGTAGCCCTATATGACAGTTCTAGGGTTTTAATCAAACACTTGCTCGGGCGCCTGGGTGGCTCAGTTGGTTGGGCAACTGCCTTCGGCTCAGGTCATGATCCTGGAGTCCCGGGATCAAGTCCCGCATCGGGCTCCCTCCTTGGCAGGGAGTCTGCTTCTCCCTCTGACCCTCCCCCGTCTCATGTGCTCTCTCTCTCTCATTCTCTGTCTCAAATAAATAAAATCTTTAAAAAAAAAAAAAAAGAAAGAAAAGAAAATTCCTACACCAAAGGTGAATGTGATATTTGAAAAGATTTGGATACAAATAATCAAAGTGTGTATATTTAAAAAACAAACAAACAAAAAAAAACACTTGCTCAAGTGTAAATAAAACATTGCTTCCTAAGAAAAATCGCTACTTCATCTCAGACTTGGACTTCTAGCTTTCAGAATTCAATGTCAATCCTGCTAATGGTGAATCTGCTTCCTATGCCCATGGCTACTCTAGGGGATGCTCAGTGAGAAATATCCACCTCTACCAGGAAACAGTATCTACCTTGAGGAATGAGGATGCTTCCTCCATCTGGATTATGAAAACTGATATAATTTACTATGTTTTCAAGTTTTCAGTTTATAAGCAGGTTAAAGTTAAATGTAATGTTTAATCAAGGCTATAACATTTCCTTTTAAACAGAATACTTGGAAATTCCTCTTCTTCTGCAAAGTAATGACTTTCCATTATTTTTGTATTCTATTCATTATCCTCAGGATATATGGTCCTTATAGAAAGATACCTCAAGTCCTTATGGGGAAAATGCCAATGCACACATCTATTCAGTAATGACATAAAAAAGGTATTTTTAATAACTCATATAACTCTGAGGGGATAAAGATATTCTTTATTTTAATAAAATATTTAAAAGCTTAATATATGACACATTACCAGAGTAAGGTACTTACACCTCCTTTTACAGCATTTTATTCCAACTATGTCTTTTGTACTCTGTTATAGGCTCTGAGAACTTACTCTGCTGTATATAAGACCTCAGCATATGAGTAGGCTTTGTCTTTAGTCAAACAATTGCTTTTATTAGGAAAACAACTCTCTAAATTACTTATCAGTTCTTGAAATATAACACAAGTTCATATACATCTCTACTACCTATACAACTCATAAATATATATTTCTATTTGAACACTTAATCAAAAGGCATAAATTTAGTTAAGAGGGCTTAAATATATTCAAACACAAAGAATGTTTAAAGAAAACATAAAATATATTTGAACTTGATGCCCATCACTGGGCAAACACAGGTAGACAAACACCAAGCAATGGATTAGATACACTCGGAGAAAAGTGGGTGGACTGAAAACACAAAGCATTGTGAAAACAATGCCCAGTAGGAAACAGAATTGGTATAAATTACAGAACCCATCAGGGGCGCCTGGGTGGCTCAGCTGGTTAAGCATCTGCCTTCGGCTCAGGTCATGATTTCTGGGTCCTGGGATCGAGCCTTGTGCCCTGCATCAGGCTTCTTGCTCAGCAGGGATTCTGCTCTCTCTCTCTCTCTCTCTGCCTGTCCCCCATCTCCTCTTGTGCTCTCTCTCTCTCTCCCAATGTCCCTCCCCACCACTTGTTCTCTAATAAATAAATCTTAAAAAAAATAAATTACAGAACCCATCTATATAAATTGAAATACAAACACATCAACACACCTCTTCTAACAACAAAATTTAAAAATATGTTAAAAATTTAAATATATATATACACAAACACACACTAACATGTTTGCCTATGGGAAGAGTAAGGAGAATGGGAATGTGGTAGGGTATAAAAGGGAGGCAAATGGATCAGCCAGTGAAGATTCTTGCCTGGACCAGAGATGATCATGTGCCATGAACCAACCAGCATAACTGACTCAACACCGAAATCTTATAAAAAGAACAATATGTTGTTTAGATATAAAGTGATACAAGACAAATTCTCAGACTCTTCTGAAGAAAAAATAGGGAAAATATTTTAACAATTCTAAACAATAATTCAAGAAAGAGGAATAATTGGGATGTAGCAATGGAAAAAAGAGTGAAATGAAAACTAATCTTGTTCTTGAATAATGATCTTTGTTGTTTTTGTTTTAGATCAATTTAGAGCAAAAGCATAGAAACTATTATTATAGCTATGGAAACATTTTACATATTCAGAGTAGAAGCAGTAACTGTCAGAAGATACAGGTATGGAAGGGGGAGGAAAGCACAGGGGCACTCATCTTCTCATCATGTTACATCATAAGAGAGTCAAGAAATACTGCCTCAAGTAGTAGAGTTTTAAAGGCGGGGATTTAAAAATTGCTCCTGGCCTGAGTAACTGGTAATATGGGTAACGTGCCTAAGCAGCAGAAAGGGGACCGAGGAGGGAGACTTGAAATCACTCTGGCCTCCCTCTGGCCACATCCTCCTCCATAAACCTCCATGCCAGTGTCCAAGATGTGACTCATGCAGCTGCCTACACGAAGACTGTCATCACTGCATGGAAGGGGAGGCTGAGAGAAGTCGGAAAGATGCTCATCAGAGACCTGATCAGGTGCAGAGGAGTGGGGGGCAGAGTGTAGGCAAGGGGTTCCCTGCTGCTTGTGTGGGAAGAGAAACCAACTCCGCGAAGGAGGGTGCACATGTGCAAAGCCATGACTTGGTGGCGGGACACTCACTGACGGGGCCAGGCGGGGAGGCTGGGATGGTGGGGCACAGGAGGTTGTCAGGGCAGGGAAGCTGTTCTGTGGGACATGACCAATACATGACCTTATGCATTTGTCAAGACCCACAGAATCTGTAACACAAGCAGTGAGCCCTAATGTACCTTAAGGGCTTTTACAAATAATAATATACAATATTCGTTCATCATCTGTAACACAAGTCCCCCACTAATGCAAGATAATAGGGGAAATTGTGAGCAGGAGAGGGGATATATGGAAACTTTTTCTAATCGGCTCAATTTTCTGTAAACCTAAAACCGTTCTAAAAATAGTCTATTAATTAAAAAAAAAAAAAGTCTCTCCGTGCCTTTCAGTTTCTCATCCCTTAACGGGACTGGCAGCAATGTGATGGGAGGTCTGAAACCCCGGCCAGCCAGATGCGCGGTACTACACAAAGAGAAACGTGCAGCTGCTTCTTAGCAACCATTACAACTTACGCGGCTTTTCCCCCTAAAAAACAGGGTTTTCTTTTTGTTTGTTTAAACCATGAGCTGCCTTAATTTCTTTGTACAGAATTTTTCCCTCAATTGATTTACATTGACTAGCTTTGCCAGAGAGTTTGAGTATTGTTTCTCCCCACCACTCTCCCTTATAGAAATAACTCTCTCTGAAGGTATAGATGTTAAATATAACACAAATTATCATCCAGAGATGCAAACGTAACACACTTTGACAAATTCTGAAAGCCTCCTTCATATGAAAGGGAGTCTTGTAGAAATTTCTGATTTCCCTAGGAGTGCTTTGCTTTAGCAGCAAAAGAACAGAAAGCAGTGGTGGCTTTTCATGTTGGTGGATCCTGGCCCAAAAAGGGCTGTCCTCCCAGGGTCCGCATCAGAAAGCACAGCACACCAGAGGGGTTACAGGTAACCCACAGCCCCTTGAGCACTGGGTGGCAGACAGCACCAGAAGGGCAGGAATGCCCATCAGGCCCAGAGGGCTATACCTCTGTCTCGGGTAACAGCGTCTTTGACAATGGGGCCCACTGTTAGAGACTGTAACTTCATTCCTTATCAAAGAGGAATTTGTGTGTCATTGGGTTGTCTTTCTTTCCATGTGTTATAGTTAACCCCTATCTTTTAATTGAAGGCCTTCCTCCCCCTGTTTCTGGTCTACTTAACGGTTTGGTCATGGTCAGCTAAACACATTAGTATGTCTGGTGTTCCAGCTAACTTCCGTAGAGAATGGTGAAGGAGCTGGGGGGTGGGGCGGGGATGGGGGGTGATATAGGGGATGGGGATTAAGGAGTACACTTGTTGTAATGCACACTGGGTGATGTATGGAAGTGCTGAATCACTATATCGTACACCTGAAACTAATACAGCACTATGTGTTAACTACACTGGAATTTAAAATTAAGAAGAAAAAAAAGAATGGTGAAGGAAGTAAGGAATGATTTCTCAACCGGTGGACATTAACTCCCTAAGAGGAGATTCTTCAACTTGCATCATATAATGCAAAGGAAACAGCACATATACATGTTAAGTTTTATTATCCCAGGGAGAGGATGTTGCTATAAAATCCACTGATTTAAATGACACAGTGGTAAATTTTCTTTTCTAGGCTTGCTATATATTCATTGCCTTCCTCATTATGTTAACATTCAACACACCTTGAAATTTTTAATCTGGGAATAAACAAGTTTGTGGACTTGAGAAGTCACAGATATGTTTTACCTGCAGCCAATTAATATTTTTCTTCTGTTCCACAAAGATGCTTAGCCGTACGTGAATGGTCTTTGTGTTCATAAATATGCATTAGCTTTGTATGGTTAAAGGAGGGCAATATTATGCTTTTCTCCTTTATCTTCAGTCTGTGTGACGTCTTTAAATAATGAACAACAAAAGGAATTTTTGTTCACTCCTCAGATTTCTCGATTCATAATGTAAGCTAGCCTGTATGTGATTTGAC